TTACAAGCAAATTTTTTTAACATCCTATTTTAAAAAAAATTTTGAGTTCCAAATTCTCTCCCTCCCCTGCTCCCTCCTTGAGAAGGCAAGCAATTTGATACAGATTATTCATATGCAGTCATGTAAAACATATTTCCATATTAGTGGTGTTGCAAAAGAAAACACTAAACAAAAAACAAGAAGAAAAATAAAGAAAGTTTAAAAAGTATGCTTCGATCTGCATTCCGACTCCCATCAGTTCTTTCTCTGGAGGTGGACGGCAGTTTTGTTTTTGTTTTTTAAATTTTGCTAGGTAATGGGGGTAAGTGACTTGCCCAGGGTCACACAGCTAGTAAGTGTCAAGTGTCTGAGGCTGGATTTGAACTCAGGTTCTCCTAACTCCAGGGCCAGTGCTCTATCCACTGTGTCACCTAGCTGCCCCTGGTGGACAGCATTTTTCCTAAGTACTTAGGATTTGCAGAAGAGTTTCTTAACCTGAGGTCCATGAGCTTGTTTTTAAAATACTGTGATAACTGTATTTCAATATAACTGATTTCCTTTGCAATCTCATATTTTATTTAAATGCATTTGCATTTAAAAACATTATTCTGAGATACGGTCCATAGGCTTCACCAGACTTCCAAAGGGATATAGTGATGCAAAACAGTTAAGAATACGTGGTATAAATTTATGGATGACTAATCAAGAAAGAACGGTTATAATGAAAGCAAAAATATAAGATCTAGACATAGAAGGTGCCAAGAAATTATCAAATTCAATTGCTCATTTTAGAGATGAGGAAACCAAGGTTCAAAAGAAAGAAAAGTTGACTTGCCCAAGGTCACATAGGCTTGGCACGAGGCCAAGATCCAAACTTGTGTCCTCTGATTCCAAATCCAGTTCTTTACTGCACCAGAACTGTCTCCACAGTAACATGTGAAGAACCATAACCAGGACTTCTCACAGCATAGCTCTATGAGAGCTCCCGGGGCTGGAAGGGTCATGGCTCTGAGGTTATCATATTATAGGAAAATATATCTAGTTATCTTTTTCTTCAAAAAGGTTTGTTTACCCATTAAAGTGACTAGTCCTTTGGAAAAAAAATACCTTAAGGAAATATGGTTTATGTAAATGAGAGAACCTCTAGCAATGAAATGGCAGGTGGGGGGTGAGGGGCATCTGGCTTTCCTGCCCTTACTATAGCCAAGCTCAAATCTTCAAAGGAGGATGCTGTCAGATTGTAAAGTTACACAATGCATCAGAGCTTCATCCAGTCCATGTAACATTAATTAAACAAAAGAGGTAGGATTGCTTAGTGGAAAGAGACAATCCCAAAGCCAGGAAGAACTGGGTTCAAGAACTGTCTTGCCCACATAGTAGTTGTGTGACCTTGGGCAAGTCAATTAACTTCTCAGGGTTCTAGGTAACTCTAAGACTCTAGTTAGGTTACAGAGAGGGAGTTTCCTCACCAAGGCATTTCATTTACCACAGGCTCAGTCTCCATCATTCACAAAATTTTAAAGTTCTGGAAGTGCAGACCGCAGTGTTAGTAAGATACAAAAGCTTGGCCTTCTCGAGCATTCCTCAAACTTATTACAGTCTAGAAGGATAGATACAAGCACCAATAACCATAAGACAAGATTACAGGATAAATTTCATTAGAAGTACAAAATCCTATGAGATCTCAGGAGGGAGGGACAAGAATCAGGGAGGGCTTCACATAGGAATTAGAATAATTTGGGGTGTTCTTTAAAGGAATTCTGTAGGCAAAGAGGAGGAAGGCCATGCTAGGCACAATTAGCCCAGGTGTGGGAGTGTGAAGGGTGACAGAAAATAGAACAATTCAGCTGGAGGGTAGAGTATCTGGAGAACAGAAACATGGGAAGATAGGCAAAGCAGAACAGTGCCAAGGTGTAGAGGGGTCTTGAATTTGCACTTTAATGTGAAGGCAAAAGAATCCTCTTAAGAATTTTGAGGTGATGATCCATGCCAGACCTACGCAACAGAAATATGATTCTGGTTAACAGGATGAAGTCTTTATCTAGGATGATACTCAATCTCTAGCCTGAAGCCCATAACTTCTAAACTGCCTTCTGGCTTTGCAAACATGTTTAAACACCTTGGACTCCAGGCTTTTACAGGGTGTTGAAGGTCCCAATAGCTTCAGGTTTTTCCTGGCTGTGATGCCAATCCAAAGGACGAAAAAGGCTCCTTGTGAAGGGAAAGGACCACTTGTATAGGAATTATCAGGTCAATGGACATGCTTCCCACCAAAACAGGGCATGGCACACACCTTGGTTTGTCTGTTGTCATCTACTATGTCATTCCATGTTCATGAATGACCGAACAGAAAACCCCAGATTTCATGAGCATGGAACTGAAATCACAAGACCTCATCCTCAGTCCCAGTTATGTTTGTCCTTGGACAAAGAGCATCATAGTTCAGTTTTCCCATCTGCCCAATGGGCACAGTCTCCTCTATAGACATCCCAACTATTCTCATCTGTCTTCATGTTTTTCCTCTTATTCAGAATGCCCTCCCTTCTTCCTTTTGCCTGTTTATCTCTCAAGGTCTAAATCAAATCCTGTCTTCCATGAATTGAGAATGACTGATGCCTCTACTAATAGGACCATAGCATTTAGAGCTCAGAGGGAATTTAGAAATCTTCTAGCCCAAGCCCCTCATTTTATAGGTGAGGAAAGAGGCTTAGATATTTTTATTTACCATAGCAGTAAAATACCACAATGGCAGTAAATAGCTGAGCTAGGATTCTATTTCAGGTCCCCAGACTTCAAATCTACTACCACATTAACTCCTTCCCTACACAGATATACTCAAGAAATATCCTGAAAAGCTCAAGAGAAAAGGCTTCACAGCAACAAGTCTTTAATTTTTACATATGATACAGTGTAATGTTTACAAAGTGGTTTTTTGTACAACAGCTTTATGAGAATGTAAGCATAGTGGTTGAGCTCCAGGTCTTCTGACTCAAAAGACCAATATTTCTAATTATTCTCTAACTTGTGTGAAGGATACAAATCAGCGCTATAAAAGGGGATTGGGAAGCAGAAGGCTGCCCACATCAGGTTCTATCCTATGGAAATTACCTGGATAGGTAAGAAACTTTTGATGAAATTGTGATGACATGAAAAGAAAATTCCAATAAGGAATAAAAGAAAGTTACCTTAAAAAAAAAAAGACAAATAAAGACAACACAGGGAATTTATCAACCAACATAACATTTCAAAAATACATATACACTAGCTAGATGCAAGGGCAGGTAAGAGAGGATGAATACAAAAGTTTGGCACAATCTTGTAGAAATAGTCATTAATAGGTCAGCGTTAACAGGAAAGATCTCCAGCAGAGAAACTCAGGGATCCGGACTTGGACCTATGCCATTTAGCCTTTTTTAATCAATGATTACACACTTAAAAAAAAAAGCTGGCTGTAAATACTAGAGGTCAAGGTTTCATAAGTACAACTTTTTTTTTCTGTTTTATTGTGTATATGAAAATTCTTACTTTAGTTGATATTGAGAATGAAAAAATCTATTATCAATGAATTAGATAAAGGTGTAGCTGACATAACTGTTAAATCTACAGATAACACAAAGCTAGCTGAGAGGGACAGCTAACTCACTGGAAGACAGTCAGAACCAAAAGGAAAGTATTCACAGGTTGGAACATTGGGCCAAACCTAATTAAGATGAAATTTAATAGAGATATATGTAGAGTCTAACACTTAGGTTCAAACAATGAACTTTGTACCTGTAAGATGGAGAAGCTGTGGCTGGACAGCAGCAATCTGGGAGTTTTAGTGGAGTGAAAAATGCAAGGATTCCACAACAGTATGATAAGGCAGTCTAACTAAAGCCTGAGGGGCACCAGCTAGATTAGTACTCTCACTGCAGTCTACCTTAGTCACGCTATATTTGGAATATTATGTTCCATTAAAGGTTGCTGCTGCTGCTGCTGCTGCTGCTACTACTACTACTACTACTACTACTACTACTACCGCCGCCGCCGCTGCTGCTACTGCTAGTAAAACTACTACCACCACTACTACTGCTGCTGCTACTGCTATTGCTGCTGCCACCACTACCACTACCACCATTACTACTACAGGTACAACATTTAAGGAAAGACACTGATAAAAGATAGAGACTATCCAGAAGCATGCATCAGGATGATGAGGGGCCTGGAGTCCATATGAGAGAAGAATGAGTAGAACTCCCTGAGGATGTCTAGCTGAGAGAAGAAAAGACCTGGTGGGAATATGACAGCTGTCTCCAAGAACATGAGGGGCTGTCGCACGGGAGGGATTAGTCTTGTTCTGCTTGGCTCCAAAGAACAAAATAAGGAACAAGGAAAGGTGGAGGGCAAGGGAAAAGCTCAAAGAAGCAGGTTTAGGCTTGGTCTGAATGGAAAAGCTTCCTTCAGTTAAAATGATCCAAATGCAGCCTAGATTGCCTGGAGGGATTGGGTTCCCTCTCACTGGAAGTCTTCAAAGACCGGACCACTACTTCTAGGTATGCTTTAGAAGAGTCTCTTCTAGTTTTACAGGCTGGACTACAATGCTACCACAGCACCTTCCAACTTTGGAGTCCTGCAATTCTATGGCTTTTATGACAGTCTCAAGGCTCCAGGGATTTAAAAGTGAACTTGTGAGATTAAAAATAGAAAGTGAAAAGACCGGGCAGACAGGAACGAAGAATATTCTGCCAATGGAGACACTGAAGGACATCCAAACAAACCGTGGACACCCAATGAGGCTTCGGTGGAGAAGAGGTGAAGACTGGCTCTCTGGTAAGCTGGGCTGGGACCTCCCTGGGATGACAGAACACTACCAAGTTCTTAGAACATGTCAAACTCACAGCCACACTGGGAACAGTGCAAGCCAACCTAGTACAAAAGCAAGGGAGCTTGGGGATATTCTCTGGCCACTCCTAGGTAACTAATGGTCATTCAGTACAGATGGGTAACAAAAGGCTGCCATGCAGCCTACCGAGTTTCATTACCTGACAGTTGCTTTTTCATGAGTGAGATGCAGATCTACCCAGGGTGGCTGTTCCTCTGCTTGCCTTGGCACAGAGCTGACAAGGGGAACGAAAAGGGTTATTATATGACTATTTTCATCACCATGGCAACAGGGGGAATCTCACAAATACCAGCTTATGACTTCACTGGAGGATCCAGGAAGGGGAGCTATAGTGATTAGAAGGGAGGAATTCACATTGAAAACATTACCTTAAATGAAAAACAATACCTCAGAACAAGGTCCAAAGAAAGAAACATTATCAGAGAGGCTCCTTTTAGATCTGCGCGCTTATGTCAAGAGCCAAGGAGGCCTCCTTGATTCAGGCTGGTGGTAGAGTGGTAGAAATTCACTTTCTTCCACTATTCAGGTACTTGCTATCCAGAAGACCTTAAATGAGTTACATGATTTCTCTAGTCCTCAGTTTCTTTAGCTGTTAAATGGTGGGGGAGGGGGAAATCCTGCTCTCCAGCTAGCCTTTGTGGACAGGGAGACATAGTCTATATGGCACTACAGGCAGGTGGATATGGATTGGGCTGAGTGATCCCCAAAGTAGTTATTAACAGATGGTTATCAATTTGGAAGGAAGTTTCTATCAGAATACTCCAGTCTTATCTTGTGCTGTTTACTATCAATCAACTAGTATTTATTAAGCACTAATTATATGCCAGGCACTAGGCTAAGTGTGCTGGGGATTTAAAAGAGGCAAAAAACAATGCCTGCCCTCAAGAAGCTTATATTCTGATATAATTTGGATGAGAGAAAGATGGCACACTCAGCAAATCTACAGACATAAATGTGGAAAAGACAGTTAATGTTCGATGACAAAGTCAGGATCCAAAAAAGATCTTGGATGGGTTAAAGCAATAGGCCAAATATACTAAAACTATTTATTTTTTTTCTAAGACTCATGATTAAAAAAAAATTACTATCTTAGAAAAAAGCAAACAGCCCGTTATCTTCAAGGGCCTTACATTTAAAAAAAAAAAGATTTTTTAAAAAATCATCATGTACAACTGGGTGTAAGAGTCAGCAAGACTCATTTCCTGAGTTCAGATCTGGCCTTGCTGAATGACCCTGGGCACATCACTTTAATAACCCTGTTTGACTCCGTTTCCTTATCTGTAAAATAAGCTGGAAAAAGAAACGGCAAACCACTCCAACATCCTTGCCAAGAAAACCCCAGATGGGGTCATGAAGAGTCAGACACGACTGAAATGAATGAACAACAACAAACCAGGAGGGGGAGGGCAAATGTAGACAGTTCATCTGAAAAAGATCTGAGAATTCAGGGGACAGAAAACAATATAAATCATCAACATAAAACAGTAGCTTGATGAAAGCTGATGAGATCTCAGGCTACACTGGAGTGTCCACAATAAGGGAGTGAAGAGTTTCCCTGTCTTTTCCCCTGGTCATATCACATTCGGAATATTACATTCAATTCTGGGCACTCATTTCAGAAAACAGGTAAGTTTGAGAGGATCCAGAGAATAACAGCTAAGATAGGGAAGGGCTTCAAAATCATGCCACATGAGGGATGGCTGAAGGAATCAGAGATGCTTCTCTAAAAAAAAAGTTCATGGACACCAGGTTAAGAACCCCTGCCCTAGACACTGAGTTCTATGAAGACAGGGATTCTATTAACTAAATTTTTTATTTCCTTACTGGTAAGGTCAGTACTCTATCCTAACACTCATATGTTACATCCTACAATGTCAGGCTTGGAATTTTGATTTTATACTTCATGTTGGTCTGGAACCTTTCTTTAAGAGGGATGGCAGGAGCCCTCAGGCCCTAATCATTTATTAAAAAAAAATGAATCAGCAAGCATTTATTAAGCACCTTCTATTTGCTAGGCACAGTGGCAAGAGCTGGAGACCCAAAGACAAAAACAAAGCAGTCCCTGACAATAAGGAGTACACATTTCTATCAGGGGAACCAAGCTGTATCTATGTAAGTAGATATGCAATAAACATAATAGGGGTTGGGGGTGAGGGGGGTGTTTACACTAACCAAGAAAAACCTTATGGAAGAGGAGGAGGTTAGTTCTTGAGCTGAGTTCAGAAGGAAGTTAGGAATTCTAGGCAAAGAGGTGGTACGTTATAGAGCTGGGAAAAGGCTGTGCAAAGGCACAGGTGATGGTAAGGAGTTATAATAGATCTTAAGCATTCAAAGCTTCTGTGAATAGATTGACCAGATCAGCACAGGGTCTCACAGTTGAGTCGGGGCCCAGTTTATACACTAGGCCCCTCTTTTATATTATTAGGCCTAAAAACATGCTTTATCCCAAACTGTATGTCTCCAGGAGGCAAATTTCTTCTTTTAGTAGGAAAGAAGTTTCTTTATGGACTAACTGTTGAATTTGATAGGAGATGGCAAGAGAGAGGCTCTCAAGATCCTAAACATTTCTGAAATATGAATGAACATTTATTAGGCTCCTGTAGCAGATGCTGGACATGTGGAGCAAACAGGAATTAGAGTAAAGCCAGGCAGGTATCACTGGGATGGGAACTCCTTGGGCGGAGGTATTACTTTGTTCACTGTATTTGTATCCCTAGTCTGCCTCTCACCTAGTGCCAGCATCAATGAATCATTCAAGAATTAATAAATTCTTGTCAATTGACTGAGGGTGTGGCCTGTGTCTTTATATTCCTAGCAGAGGACCTGACACTTGGTAGAAATGTAATAAATCCTTGTTGATTGTTCAAAAACATATGACAGTGAAACAGAATAGGACCAGGGACCCTATCTTTCCTTCTGTCACTGCACGTGTAGGTCCAGCTTATTTTCAGTCTATGTAAAGCACAATTAGCAAAAAAAATTTCCAGGTTATGGGGTCAGGGTGAGAGAATGGATTCAAAACACATTCAAGTCAAATCAAGTGCAGATCACACATGGGCTGCCTAGCAGTTTCTGCCTCCATTAGTGGTTCTTTGGCAAGTTAACGTGGTCAGCAATGGGGACAGCTAGGTGGCACAGTGGTACCAGCCAGCCCAGCAGTCAGGAGGACCCTAGTTCAAATCCAGCCTCAAGACACTTGACACATATTAGCTGTGTGACCTTGGACAAGTCATTTAACCCTGACTGTCTCGCAAAAGAACAAAAAAAACACAAAACCAAAAAACTCATGGTCAGCAACCTAGCCCAGGGTCTATGACTCAAACTGATTCCTCTAAAGCCAGTTTTGAACTACAGATACTTCTCCCCCACTTCTGCCCAGCAGGCCTGTTATATAATGAGGTGGCAAGTGGAGGACCAATGTGGAACTCTGGCCCATCAGGCGTAGGACTGACAATAGCTCCTATACCTCACTTATTGGGGAACCTGGATTCTCTCAGGCAACTGAAAGAGTTTCTCATTTTGGGGATTGCTCCTGGTAGGGACTACAAGAGTCCTGTGATGATGAATACACACTGGTTCCAAACGAGGGGTGAACAACCTTAACAACCAGGCCTCCTACAAAAGAGAAGAAACTCAGTGGGATAATAGAGTACACAGTGGAACTTCTGAAAGTTCAGAAGAAACAAAATCTGACACTAATGAAATATAATGCTTGGGTATCAAGAATCATTTGATGAAGGGCAATGAGGAGAGGGTCGGGAGAAGAGAAACAGAAGGTCCAAAGGCTTGCTGTCAAGTTGTAAAACCTTCCTGTATGACTTTTGAAGTTTCTCTAGCACTAAAAAACAAAACAAAACAAAACAGCTCCATTTTCCCCACTGTGAAACTCGGTATGACTTTCCTTTCCTCTCTACTACTGGCTTGCATAAACCCATCTTGTTTTCAACTTCAACAACGCACAATTCTTACGAAGATGAGGTGGAGAAGGAAGATGGATACAAAGCACATTTCCAAGTCCCGATATTAACCATGGCCCTCACTTCCTGCCATCAGTACACCCCACCCCATCCATGTTCCAAAGATCCTCAATGGTGGAATTTAATATGGCCCTCAGTATTCAATAGTCCCCCTTTTCTTTAATGCAACTTCCCGTTTTCATGGGATACAGCAACACTGAGAATTTTAGCCAAAGTGTATCTAAGAAATAGACTCCTTTTCTTACGTTTCTTCCCATAAACATATCATAAGGGCATTTGGGACAGACTTTGTGGAGATTACCTAGCCACTGAAGGACCAAGATTCCCTGGTGAGGGGATGGCGATGGGGAGAAAGACTACAGAATTTCAGAATTGAGATGATCTCTGAGGTTATTTCCAGCTCTAGCTGAATTTTCTCATTTTATGAAGAAGAGACACTTGCACCTAAAGAGGACAGAGCAACCTTGCTGAAAGTCAGAAAGTTAGTGGATGATTGATATATAGTCACAGGATATGAACAGGCAGTTTTCAGATGAAGAAATTAAAGTTATCTACAGTCATATGAAAAAATTCTCTAAATCACCATTGACCAGAGAAAGGAAAATCAAAACAACTCTGAGGTACCACCTCACACCTATCAGATTTTATAAATGCTGGAGAAGATGGAATATTGGAACACTAATGCATTGTTGGTAGAGTTGCGAACTGATCCAACCATTCTGGAGAGCAATCTGGAAATATGCCCAAAGGGCTATAAAAATGTGCATACCATCTTTGACCCAGAAATACTACTTCTAGGTCTGTATCCCAAAGAAATCACACAAATGGGTAAAGGACCCATGTGTACAAAAATATTTATAGCAGCTCTTTCTGTGGCGGCCAAGAATTGGAAATTGAGGAGATGCCCATCAATTGGGGAATGGTTGAACAAGCTGTGGTATATGAATGTAATGGAATACTACTGTGCTATAAGAAATGATGAGCAGGGGCAGCTAGAGGGCGCAGTGGATAGAGCACCGGCTGTGGATTCAGGAGGACCTGAGCTAAAATCTGACCTCAGACACAAAACACTTACTAGCTGTGTGACCCTGGGCAAGTCACTTAACCCCACTGCCTAGCAAAAAAAAAAAAAGAAAGAAAGAAAAAAAAAAGAAATGATGAGCAGGCAGACTTCAGAAAAACCTGGAAAGACTTGTATGGTCTGATGCTAAGTGAAGTGAGCAGAATCAGGAGAACATTGTACACAGTAACAGCCACAACATGCGATGACTAACTTTGACTAGAAGAGACTAACATCTCTTCTTAGCAATGCAAGGATCCAAGACAATTACAAAGCACTCATGATAGAAAATCCATTCAGAGAATAAGGGGAGGAGGGGACGGGAATAAGCATTTATACAGCACCTACTACATGCCAGGCACTGCGCTAAGTGCTTTTTACAAATATCTTATTTGATCTTCATACAATCCTAAGCAACAGGTGCTATTATTATCTCCATTTTACAGCTGAGGAAACTGAAGCAAATAGAAGTTAAGTGACTTGTCCAGGGTCACAGAGCTAGTAGGTACTGGAAGCTGGATTTGAATACAAGTCTTCCTGACCCTAGACCACGTCTCTAATCACTGTACCACTAGCTGCCCTGCAACTTGGAAAAAGAATCAAACAAAGCTTTTTGAATGAGGTAATACTTAACCTAAGCCTTGAAGGGAGCTAGGGGTTCCAAGAGCTGGACGTGAAGAGAAAGAGGTATGAGGGGAAGAGCCAGGGCAAAGGCAAGGAGGTGGGATATGGAATGTTGTGTATAAAGAATACTAAGTAACCCAGCCTGGCTGAAGGGCAAAATTCACGGCAGAAATTATTAGCATTACCACAAGAATGCAACAGATGTTAACAAGATAGGTTGTACACAATTCCAGAAGATTCATGATGAAACATGGTGCCCACCTCCTGACAGCAAGGTTACAGACTCAGAGTGCAGATTAACACTTGTGGGAATTTGTTTTGTTTGATTATAGCTTTTTGTAACAGATGTATAAATGGGTTTTCTTTTTTTCTCAATGAAGGCAGATTTTCCTTAATTGAAAAAAAAATTATTTTAAAATAAATACATAAATAATAAATACTTAACAATAGATACATAAATAAAAAATAAAAACAAAAACATAGGAGAAGTTAGCTTTTGTCAAAGAAGAGGCTGGGATAATTGAAAACACTATACAATTTCCTACATGCCATCTAGGAAATGATGATGAGAAAGGTAAGTGACTATAAATGAGAAAAGGAGGTATAAGTAAGTGTAAGCCAGTGTGAGTGCAGCACTAGGACACACACATATCCACACCCACACCCCACATCCCACAAGGGGAGAGGCAAAGATGAAGAGGCTGCTGTCTTTACCACCAAAAGGAGAACCTGCAGGGATGAGAATGTGAGGATCCACTCCAGAACAGCATGCATTCTTCCTTCCTGTTTTTTTCTAGTCTAGATGACTAGCTAATCTCTGGAGAGCACTCAATGAGGTACTGAAGTGTTCTTGGGCTTGCTGGAAGTAGCACATTGCCTACAAACAGGACTTGTTTACCTTGGTGAAGTATCTTACATCCAGAGTATCTTACTACCTTTAGGGGAATAATTCTATTTAGATTTAAACTTGGAGCTGGAAAGAAATTTAGAGATTTTGTCCAAACCACTAATTTTACACATGAGCAAACTGAGATCTAAAATGACTAAATGACTTGTTCAAGGCCACATAGGGAGTAGAGCTCGGATTCTAACTCAGGTCCTCTGACTCCACATCCATGGCACCGCTCAACATATACACAGGATATGCTTCTGACACAAACACAATCTGGTAAAAAAAAAATAATAAAAATAAAATTATGTTGGCAGGGCTTGGGGAAACAGTCATTCGTACATTGCTGGGGACAATGTAAATTATTGCAGTCTCCAAGACAGCAATCTGTTGCTACTCAACAAATATCATAAAAGAGATTACCCTCTGATTAAGTAACTCTAATATTAGCTATATACTCTAAGGAATTTAAAAAGAAAAGATTTTTTAAAAAGATGTTTATAGATACTATGTGACAACAAAAATGCATACAATCTAAACTAATAACAGTTGGGAAATTGACAGTTTATCCATGAAGAAATCTCTCCCTTCCTATGAAGCCCCTTCACGGCCCACTAAGCTGCCCCTCCAAGGATACATCATCCTTCAGTGAAAAGTGATTTCTCAGGGGCAGCTAGGTGGCGCAGTGGATAGAGCTCCAGCCTTGGAGTTAGGAGGACCCAAGTTCAAATTTGGCCTCAGACACTTCACACTTACTAGCTGTGTGACCCTGAGCAATTCACTTAACCCCACTGCCTAGCCAAAATAAAAAAAAAAAAAGAAAGAAAGAAAAGAAAAGTGATTTCTCCTTTATGCATATAATGGAGAGAGCCCAGAACCTGAAGTGAGAGCCCCTACACAGGTCACTTGGACTCTCAGGTCTTCAGTTTCCTCAGTTATAAAAGGAGTAGACTAGACTAGATGACCTCTACAATTCTAGTTCTTATTTTTTAATTAATTTATTTTGATTTATCAACAATCACTTCCATATGCTTTTGAGTTTAAAATTTTTCTCTTCCTTCCTCCCCACCAACCTTCCCAACACAGTACACAATCTGATATAGGTGATACATTAACATTCCTATTAAGCATATTTTCACATTAGTGATGTTGTATCTAAGAATTAAAACCGATAGGAGGAACCACCAGAAGGAGGAAATAAAATTCAACAGAAGAAAAAAATACAGCAAATAGTATG